AGTGTTAATTCTTTTTCTGCTTCTAAATATTATTTTCCTACTCTTGACTATTAACCTATGAATAATAATTGCTTTGCTTTCATAATCCCAAAGAACCAGACACCGGCAGCAGTCTAGACAACCAGGTGTAATATGAACAGACTTTCCACAAACACAGCTTAATTATTGTAAAACATGTGCATATATCATGTGAACAAAGTTAAGTTTGTTTATAAATTCAGCAAATAAACATCTTTGTCAGCTTACCCAAGCTAGACACAGGATGTCTTTATTTTTCTACTCTAGCCCATTCCACCACACTAGACCACCAGACTCTTCTGGCCCATTTTCCTGTGTTTGCAACTGGTGTTAGAATCTACTCATACACTGTCACTATTCCACCACCTGGAAATAACCCCACTTTACCTAATCAACAAATTTAAAAATCTAGTCTTCCAAAAGAGATCCATCCTTTCTAACTCCTTAGAGTCTTTAAATGTATATCCTGCTCCAATGCCCAGAGAGATACTCTTCCTTCTCAGATTTATAAATATTCAAGTAAGTCCTCCTATTAACTCTGTCATCTAGGTTACACTGCAATCATAAATATTAATCCCTGGTTATTTTATGTAATATGAATTGCTTGCAGTCACAGTGCAGATAGGTCTCACTAATGAGTATGAAGATAAAATAATTTATAAAAATGCTGTTCAAAGGAAGTTGAAGGAAGTTGCACCAAATTTGTGCACTAGCTCCCTTTTTCAGGAGGGCAAAGAAAGACTAGTAGGTAAGATGTGTGGTTTTACTTATTTAAGCTTGATTCACATCTTCCTCTGAAGCTGAAGCAGTCTTTGGTACAGAAGACTCCGTGGGGGCCCTAAGTCTATTAAACACACATTGCCAAGACCATAAAACGCATGAGAAAAGATCATCTGTTAATCAAAGCAAGAGAACCTGACTTTTAATTGTAGTAAAATTTCCATTTTTACTTATTATATGTGAAAAGCATTTATGTTGAAACACTTGGACAAGGTTTTATTGCTTACAAAATGGACGTGCTTGTATATTCAAACTTTCTGCTAAAAACTGAATGAGAAGATTTTGAGCACGAGCCGTATTCTCTTTTCCTGGATAACATACAAACCAGAACCCATCTATGAAAATAGGACTGCTATCATATGAATATTCTTCTCTTGGTTTGTAAAATAAATCCTTCATGAAAACATTCCACGGAAAGAATGATGAATATGATTTATTTAAACAGAAAACAGTTGGCTGTGACATGCAGCTATTTTTGACTGCAAAATCCATGTTTCTAATGGAAAGTGGTAAAGGGAAACAGTAAAATAAAGTCTGTACTTCTGATCAAGTGACCATAATCTTCCTAGCCTTTATGAGCCAGAAATGCCTATTATGCATTGTAAGATAAGTCATAAAGCAAGTGCCCCCCAGCACCAAGCAGTTATTCCCACAGGTGAAAGTCTTAGTACAGTGATACACATAAACCAAAGAAGCTGAGAAGGCCAATTACCCATACATCTCATACACAGTCCATTCCCAAAGGAATGTTCCTATAAAGCTCTTTAAAAATGCTTTCAGACTGTCACAACCCAAAACAGTGGAGTTCGATCCCTTTCCCTTTATTTGTATCTAAAATAAGGTCTGGAAGCCATTTCCAATAGATCAGCTTGATGGCTTGGGAAGAAGCACCTGGAAACACCACCTTCCTCCTTCCTTCCCTTTTTTTATAATGTGCACAGCAGATTTAGAGCAGAGCCTAAGAGGTACACTTGCCTTTATTTTCCTTTTTAAAGGAATTTAAGTAGTTTTCATGTATTACTGCTAAGCCTCTTCTCCCCATTGCACTATCCTAAACTGTTGAATGAGAATGCTTTGTACTTGTTTACATGGTTTCCTACTTCCCAGTTTAGCTTTATAAAATGAGAAAAATTACTAAGAAAATTCAGCGTCAAAAAGTTCCCTAATGCCAAAGGCACCAATACACATTAGTGTGTGGCTGTATGAGACAAAGTCATTTATAAAACTTGTAAGAGGAACTTATTTTTGGTTTGCAAATCAACAGCATTCCCATCAAGCTTGCAGAATTGCTTCAAACAGCCTTCTATCAAAGATTCACAGTGAAAAGGATTTTTTCGTTTAAATATGGTATTTTTTTGAATATTTATCTTGCAGAAGTAAAATTTCACTGTATTGCTGAAAAAATCTAAAACTGTCACCTGAAAATAGAAACATGTAATTTTTAGCTGCCAAAGACTCTGTGCATTCAAAACAAATTTTCATTTATGAAGAAAATATAAATTTTAGCCATTGATGCCACAAATATTTATGCCTACTTTTCACTTCTAGCTCCAAGAGGATGGCATGTGAACAATCCCATTCATTTAAGCATTATCAAGAAAGGTCATTCTTTGTATCAGGTCATGTGTTGGAAAGATCTCATGCAAAATGTCACCAATAATATCACTTTATAAAGAGAAGCAGTGTTTTGAAATTTTATTCTGAATTGGGAATTGCAGTACATATGGGAAAATTGCACTCTGACAATTTCAGAACAATTTCTACTCAAACAAGAAGCTCCTTTCTTCTTGTTGTAAGTATTTCACTCTAGATGCAAGGAATACAACAGTACACGCTCAGCCCATTTGCTTCCCTAGCATCATTTAGTACTAATTAAAAAATTAGGAGTTCAAGATTTCTACATGAAAGCAGTAAAGGATGGATGACAAAAATGAAATAAAAAAATAACAGAAGTGAGGAGAAAGAACAGAAAATTTGAAAGTTAGGAAAAAGGTAATTCTAATTTAGAGACAGCATTTGGAACCTGCAGACATATGACCAAATCCACACACCTAAAGCACAGTAGATATTATATGCATCAACCAGATGTTTGATGGAATATTTCTAGTTTCATATACATTATAACTTGGTAGCATTACCTTTGTCCAGTTTTGTAGCTTGTGCTAGCTTTTTCTGAGCCTTCCCTTTCAATTGCTGGAGGGGAATTGAGGCTAGTGCTTTTTGCTGAATAGAAGGATTCTCATACATCAACACAAGATGCTCAAATTTTGTTTGAAGTGTTTTCAAGATATTTGCAGCCTGCAAAAGGATTTTCAGTCACAAGATGATTTATGAACTTTCACCTTAAACCAGAAGAACCAAGCTCTCCTATTTCAGTTTGTCTGTTACAATTCTATACTCAGTTACATTATATATTTCTTTACACATTAAATGTTTATTTGTAATGATATCAATAAAAATTGCAGCCATCACCACCCAAACTGTAAAGCCAGACTTGTAATCTTTGAGCACTCTGAATGGTGTCCTGAGGAAAAGTGTACTGATTCAGGGAGAAGAGAAGAGACACCTATGACAGCAAAGTTGACTTACTTTCCCCTGCCGGTTCTTTTGGACACATTTTACCTGAAATCCACAAAAGAACCTGTAATTCATTCCATTTCCTGGACACTGCTGCATCAGTTTGCAGAACTCTATTATCCATGAATGCTGCTTGTCTGTTTCTACTTCTTTCTCTCACAGGTCAACTCCAATACAGATTTGAACAGATAGCCCTGTGACCATACACTGAACAGTGTATTTCACTAGAAATCAAACATAAGAACTAAGCTTCTTCAGTCAGTTATCCTAAGCATCACTTGGTGGCAACTATATGTTGCACTCAATAAGGTACACCCGTATCTACTAAAACAAATAGCTAAAGTTAATAATAGTGGAATTAGTAGCTGGGCAAACTATTTACTTCCATTTAAAAGGAGACAACACAGAAAGTGAAATGGGATTTTAAAATTCAGACTCTGGCATATTTTTGGGGGAAGCCTGCAGTACTGCTAAATTACCTTTTCTCTACTGCTACATCATGCTTCAGTCTTTAGCCTTGTTAACTACCACCTTTGTTTCATCAAAAACCCCACACTTCCTGACATGCTAGCAGCACACACAACATAATATACAGGTGTGTCTACTCTTCAGAAGATAGCTTCTTTCAAAGCAGCACTTAAATTAGGAGCGATTATTTCGATGCTTGACAGTACTACAGGACCAGTCCTTACATTTCATAACTGGTGAAACAGAACAGAACTGGTTTCGCTCTTCCTGGAGCTCATCAGCTGTAGGTAACTAGTTTAACATCATAAACCCAATTGTGTTCAGATTCACTATAACACAAGTTGAAAGAACAGAAATAAGGGAAGTCAGGGACTGCCAATGGCTTATAGATCTTCACATTCTGTCAGCTTCCTGAATGAGTGTTCAGAGATATAGCTCAGGACAGCAGGTGGTCTCCCAGATTCTTTGACAATTCGGATTTTCCAACTGGCAAAACCCATCAATGTTACTGTAGTGCTTAACTGGTTTCATGGAAGCCACTGTATACCAATGATGTCTTATACAAACATGCAGATGTGCTGTGAACCTCACTGCAAATCTAAGTTTGGATACCTCTTTCCTCCTATAATCGCTATGTCATCCAGGAAGGGATCAGAAACATAGAATGGTTTGGGTTGGAAGGG